TTATTATATAATATATATAATATATTATATATAATATAAAAAACCAAAAACTTTAAAAGAACGGCTGAATCAGGAGAAATTTTTTGTTATTCATTTTTTTTTAATTTGCATTTAATTTTAGTGTTGAACCTCATCATAATTTAAACTTTATGTTTATGATATCGAGTGAAAGCAAAAACAACGATTCAAACAGATTGTACGAATGGTGGTAATTATTGTAGGAATAAAATATAGGAACCTTATTATTAATAGTTAGGAAAAGTTGTATTTATTTAATTAAATTGTGGTATATCTGACTTAAGTTTTTTATATCAGTTTTGTCATTAACGCTGTTTTTATTTTAAAGTTAAAGTTGCATATATTTCAGAAATTGGATGGCGAAGGCAAAGAGGTTATATGTAACGTCTGCAGAAGAAAGTTAAACGCAGCATTCGAATTTAAGTCAACTTGTCTGAAGAACGATTACACAATTATTCCCTATGTGGATTGTGAAAAAATGTTACAGCTCGATATCAGAGACGTGTATACGAAGGAAAAAACAAGCGAGTCAGTGGATATTTCAGATGGTCACAAAATATGTCGGTTGTGTATGGAGCCAGTAGAAAGTGAGTTTAGGTGCATTTGTCAAGAGGAACTTGAAGCTATCGAGAAATTGGCTCCTGAAATGGTATCAATGATATTACATAGTTACATTTTTCGCAATTTAATGAAACCACTTTGCAGAATATAAGTATCATCAAAGATCCCGTTGTATGTAAGGAATGCTTTGATTCTGTGTGCACCCACAACAGTTTCCTAAAAAATTGCTTTCAAGTACAGGAAGAAATTGGAGGTATTTTTTATAGCGCAGCGACAGAACTTCAGATAGATGCGTCACCAGCCGATTTATTCGTTAAGACTGAAAACGAGGACAAAGAATTCGATATCAGCGAGATGGAAATGTCTATCAAAGCTGAAAGTATCGACATAAAATCGGAAGATGAGGAAAGCAGGTAAGAGAAGACTATTTTAAGAATAATTTAAAAGGTAACAGTATAACTCCAGATCTTATTTAATTTTGCATCTTTTGCATTAATTTCTTGTATTTCTGCGGGTTTTCCCATAATTAATTATTTTTAACATATCTTCAATAAAAATATTACTAATTGTCGTCAAGAATTTGATTTATATGGTAATAGAATTGAAATAATGCCCTGTGGAGTTCAGAAACTTGCATAATTGCATTTGGAATAACCATGACCCCTTAGAATTAACACCTCACTTTGGAAAATACCCTGTATATGTAATTTTTTCAGCGACTCGCTACTGCAGAGCTCCGATAGAGATTTATTCGAGAAGAGTGTCCGTAGAGATGCAGAAGAGGATGGATGTAAACATGAGAATAGATCGACAAACGAATGTAATACGAAGGTCAAGCAGGACCGCAAAGTATTTTACAAATGTGATAAATGTATTTACAAAACTGGAAGCGAGAGCCGTTTTATAGCACATCCTGCAAGACAGGAGAACGATTCGGAAGTATATAAATGTGAATCGTGGGAGTACGAAAGCGAAAATAAAAATTTTTTTCAGAAGCATCAGTTGAGACATAAAGACTCTTCGGATACGCGTATGCACCGATGTGGATTTTATGATTACAAGACAAAGAACAGATGTGAGCTTGCTAAGAGTCAGGTAAGACATAAAAGCGCATTTGAAGGACGATTGTACAAGTGCGACTTTTGTGATTTCAAAGCAAAGAGGAAAATCAGTTTTAATAGTCATTATATAAAACACAAAAGTTCAAACAATCGTGTAGAATGTGATTATAAAATCAAAAACACCGCGTTACCTAATAAGGAGACTTCACAACTACCCATTTATAAATGCGATGGTTGCACATACCAATCAAAGAATAAGAGAGACTTTACCAGACATCAGTTGATACATAAAGATCCTTCACAGGTCAAAATGTACGGGTGTAATGACTGCGATTTCGAAACTAAATACAAAGGTGAAATGAAAAATCACCAACTGAAACACAAAGATCTTTCGCAGGTTCAAACGTACAGGTGTAATGACTGTGAATACAAAACTATATACAAAACGAATATCAAAAAGCACCAACTCAAACATAGGGACCCTTCACAGGTTCAAATGTACAAGTGTAGCGACTGCGATTACGAAACTAAATACAAGGGTGATATGAAACGACACCAACTGAAACATAAAGATCCTTCTCGGGTTCAAATGTACAGGTGTGAGGATTGTGATTTTGAAACTAAGTACAAAAGTGAAATGAAAAATCACCAACTGAAACACAAAGATCTTTCGCAGGTTCAAACCTACAGCTGTAATGACTGTGATTACAAAACTATATACAAGAAATGTATCAAGCAGCACCAACTGAAACATAAAGACCCTTCACTGGTTCAAATGTACAAGTGTGACGACTGCGATTACGAAACTAAATACAAGAGTCATATCAAATCACACCAACTAAAACATAAAGATCCTTTTCAGGTTCAAACGTACAGGTGTAATGACTGTGATTACAAAGCTATATACAAAACGTATATCAAAAAGCACCAACTCAAACATAAAGACCCTTCACAGATTCAAATGTACAAGTGTAACGACTGCGATTACGAAACTAAATACAAGGGTGATATGAAACGACACCAACTGAAACATAAAGATCCTTCTCAGGTTCAAATGCACAGGTGTAAGGACTGTGATTTCGAAACTAAATACAAAGGTGAAATGAGAAATCACCAACTGAAACACAAAGATCTTTCGCAGGTTCAAACGTACAGGTGTAATGATTGTGATTACGAAACTAAATACAAGGGTGATATGAAACGACACCAACTGAAACATAAAGATCCTTCTCTGGTTCAAATGCACAGGTGTAAGGACTGTGATTTCGAATCTAAATACAAAAGTTGTATCAAACAGCATCAACTGAAACATAAATATCCTTCTCAGGTTCAAATGTACAGGTGTAAGGACTGCGATTACGAAACTAAATACAAAAGTTGTATCAAACAGCATCAACTGAAACATAAAGATAAGGCGTACTGACTGTGATTATGAATCCAATTGCAGAAGTTGTATAAAATATCACATGCTGAAGCATAGAGAACCTTCACGAGCGTAAATGTTCGGGTGCGTATATATGAGCATGCGAAGGTATGTCACGGGTTCAAACGCATCAATGTGATTCTGGAACCAAGCGTGAGAAGTCTCTAAGGAGATATCTGTTGCTGCACAAAAAACATTTGTGGATGTGAAGTACGGCCCATTAAAATGCAAAATCCATACAAAAATGGGGGTATTTAAGGGACCGACCTTATCATATGTGAATATAAAGTAGAATGTAAAGCCTGTCGTGAAAAACATCGGTTCAAACAAAAACTCTCCCTGAAACAGAAAGAGACAAGTCATTTTGGACTAGTGCTTTTGTAACAATGCATTAAAATGAATACTTTGTAATATACACTTGCTTTATCTATGTTTAAAAATATATCTTTTTTTATTAGGTATCAATATTCAGGGTGAATCTTAAATGTGTACATGTGTATTCTAAACGAGGAGACGGTTTATTATGTAGAACATGCAGTTAATAGTTTTTTGTTCAAAAAAAAAATTAGGCACAAAATATGCAATAATACTAAACACTAAAATAAATATGCATTGTTTTTCTTCATAGAAAACTGACTACTCACTTCGCTGTGGTATTTACACGTTGAGAGATCAACTAGGTGATGTTGCCGATGTCGTATAGACTCGTAAACTCTAATTTTTAATGAAAAGAAGAAATAAATAAGCATGGATTTAGTTAGATAATATGTCACAAGTTTTGAAATATCTTTATAAAAATGTTCAAAGCCTCTTTCTCTTGCAATTCTGATGCATCGGTGATTTTTAGCAATATTATCTGCCCCGTTGTTCACTTCTAGCTTAGAAATACAGTATTCGATTGTCCACATGATTTTCGAGACAAGCGTTGCGGTCAACCAGAAAGCAGTGCCTCGAAAATTATTTTGTACCTGTTAGTGGGAAGGTTTTATATTTTATTTAAATTATATTTGTACAAAATCAATTCACCCTTCCAGCCTGACATTCATTATTTGTCCTGTCCTAAAAATGTGTTGGCCTTATGAGTAGTTGTGTAAATGTGGATGAGAAAATTATTTTCTATGTTTAAATAAGTGTTCATTTGTGTCATTTATTTTTTTGACAACTTTAATTTTTATATGTACACATTTAAAATTAACCCTGCGTCCTATTTAATTTATAATTTTCATTTGATTTTTCGTAATTTGTGAAAGGGGGGCAGGGTTCCAAGTGCAAAGAAACGTTATTGTACTAACACTGTTCCCTATTGTATTTTGTTAGTATTATTTAAAGGCATAAATATAAGTTTAAATGTTTAGCTTTTATTGTGCACTATTACATGATTATATTATATGTATGTAGGATTAAATGAATTAAATATAATTTCAGTACATATGCATTAGATTACATTGTATTAATGTGTTTAAAGGAACCCTTTTGTTTTTACATAGTTTTCGTTCTTCTCCAGTACCTACATGAAAATCTGCAAAGCGATCTGAACCAAATTATAGAAACCCAGGGAGTGCTAGAGTGCACGCTAAAATCAAGACGAGAATTAAATTTGTGGCGCCATCTCTCGGGCGCACTAATATATGGTACTTAATAAATATTACAGTATATTTTAAATTAATAGGCGGTTGTTGATATAAATATTCTGTACAATATATCAGTCAAGGAGGCGGTGATGTAAGGTAGGTAGTGTCTACCATTATTGATAGATGGCGCTATCTACTTGGCAAAATGAAAAGACGTAATGATTCATAACTCTTCAAAAAAAATAATTGGATTAAATTCTAATATAATATTGTTAAATGTAGAAACGTTCAAAATTTTTCCAACAACTCGTAAACACGGTTGGGCATGTTTAATCATGTTTTGACCAACAAAAACCAATGTTATTTCCCAATAAAAATAGGTAATGATAGTTTGTAAGTCAGGAGAACATGGTGGTCATGCAAATAAAAGATAATCTGCTGGTACTAATGTTTGGAACGCTGTGAGCACATGACAGGGCTACATTTGAACTTCATGTAATACGCGTTTGCCGTTGTACATATTTTCCTCCTACAATATTTAAAATTTTGTCCTCGGCTACATCCGTAGCACACTCATTGAACCACCGTGGCGGTGGCATTTAGCATATGTCTACCGGGCAGACTCTATCCGAAAAACCTGCTGGTAAATGAAAAGCTGCTAATGCATTTTGTCCCGTCTCGCTGTCAATTAAAGTAATATCCTTTAGTTAATTCTGGACGGGAAATTTCGAACATTTGTATGACTGATGTAAACGCTAAACCATGGTAATAAGAGCACTATGAAAACCACAGTAATAATGAATAAGGATTTGATACTTCAGTTGGCTAAAGTTACCTGAAGTAGCAACAATAATAAAGAGTGACCGCAAAAAACGTGATTTTCGCCCGTTTTTTCACAATCCGCAGAGAATTTAAAAAAATACAAAAATGTTTTTGGTCGCGAATTGTCATAAAAAACTTAAATGAGCACAGCTTTTAGTATATTGAAAATTTTTAAAATCACCCCTACTTAGGGGTTGAAAAAATGCCAAAAATGAACATTTTTTGGAATTTTTATAATTATATCTGATTACAACCCCTTAAAGCTCTCGAGGGTAGATTCTCGAAGTCAATATGCCCATTTTAGTCGTGAAAATGTATGAATTTTTCTGCGATTTATTCTATAGAGAAATTAAAATAAGAATGAATCTTGTTGTATTTTTTTGAGAATGGGGTGGATTCAACCCTGATTCAGGTGTAGTTTTTTCTTGAAACTTACTATGAATAGTTAATCCGTCATGTTTTCCTAGCCCTGAATTATCTTCATATATTTTTTTTGGAATTTTTACAATTATTTCTTATATATTCCCTATTTTTGGGAATGATTTCACCTTCATCTTAATTTTTTACGAGTAATTTGAGACCAAAAACATATTTTTATCTATTTTCTTTAGTTCTCCGCGAATTGTGAAAAAACGGGCGATTTTTGTGGTAACTCTTTGTGGCGCCATGTTTCGGGTAAAAATAGTACTAACAGATAGATAGATAGATAGATAGATAGATAGATAGATAGATAGATAGATAGATAGATAGCTTTATTTAACCATTTGATATACAATAGTACATTTATGGCAAGTCAGAATACGCATTGTATTATAATCACATAAATGTCCTACTAGTTTCTAGAGTGGTCTATGGAAGCTCTCTTTCAAGAAACTCGCTCCTAAGTTGTCTCTGTTTCAATAAACACCTGAAGCGAAGTGTGGCACTTTTCTAGAACCAGTCCTGTCAGTCTCGGCTCAACTCCACATACTTAAATCGATTTTAACAATTAACGTAATCAATATACGTCTTTATGTCTTACGTATCATGACCAACTTAAGCTTCTGTTTATGTATTATATACATATAGGGATATAATTTGTTTCAAATCGAAAATCCGGATCTCTTTGATGACATCATCTGCTGACAAAACAAATTTTCAAATGCAAAATACATTATAGTTACCCCTTTGTTTCAAGTAAATTGAAAACTACACTCAATAATACAGACAATGCAACCGTAATTATTTGTTACGTCAATTTTTTTCCACCAATCCGTCAGGGGATAACAGAAGAGGAAGAAGAACAATAATTCTCTTTCATTTTTCATCGAGGTTAAGTAACGGTTTGATATTTACGTTTCAAAGAAAATTGTTGCAATGTCTGGTGTTCAAGATACTTCGTGCAAGCTTTGCCTCAAAACTGTAACCGTAAATGGTTTTGAGGTAATAGACAACGTTACTAGAGATATTTTAGATGTTCTTTTGCTGAAATTGGTAAGTCAGTGATGGTTATGTATTACATAGTTCAATGTCGCTGATATGTATGGAAACGGTCGATTATCTCCTAAAGTAACATAGCTATCGAAAAATCATAGAACACAAACGTTTTAGGGTTCTTTAGAAGTATTACAAAAAAGAATATTTAAGTATACAGGATCAGTCGAAAAGTTATGACGAAACAAAGTTACTTTTTCTTCACTGGAGCACCCTGTATATTATTCCATATTTCAATTCTTCTCGAAATTCTAAACAAAATTCATATGTCACATCATGCGCCTAAACTTAACCGTTTTCGAGATATCGAACTTTGAAAATCTATTATAAATTATAGAAAAATATTTTAGTCCGTTAAGTTTATAGTCTATCAAGTTACCTTTGAAAGTTTTTAACGCTATAACAACGCCGCGTCGTTCTATTGTCTAATAGTGATTATGTGAATAATTTTCTCGCAAAATGGCACGTTTAAATAAAACAGAGCGTATTGGAGTTTTAGTGATCATAGGATATGGTGATGTATGAATTTTCTTTAGAATTTCGACAAGAATTGAAATATGGAATAATATACAGAAAAATTAAAGAAAAAACAGCTTCGTTTCGTGTTAAACGAACAGGAAAATTTTAAAATTAAATAGCGAGTAGTAAAAATTAAAATTAGGAACTGAAATTTGGTAAAATTGTATTTCCAATTTTTAGAACAATATTTCCTTAATGGAGCAAAATAATGAAATGTACGTTTCAAACGAAGCACTCTAATGAATATACATATATCTCAATTCGCACACCTCAAAGCATTAGAGCGACTTAACAATAATTGATATTTTTTGCCAAAGCGATTTTCTTTCTTTTTGGTTAAAGTTGCATATATTTCAGAAATTTGATAGCGAAGGCAAAGAGGTTATATGTAACGTTTGCAGAAGAAAGTTAAACGCAGCATTCGAATTTAAGGTAACTTGTCTGAAGACCGATTTCACAATTATTCCATATGTGGATTGTGAAAAAATGTTACAGCTCGATATAAGAGACGTGTATACGAAGGAAAAGACAAACGACTCAATGGATGTTTCAAATGGTCAGAAAATATGTCGATTGTGTATGGAGCCAGTAGAGAGTGAATTTAGGTGTGTATGTGAAGGGGAACTTGAAGCTATCGAGAAATTGGCTCCTGAAATGGTACCAGTGATGTTAAATAGTTAATTTTTCGCAATTTAATGAAACCACTTTGCAGAATATAAATATCATCAAAGATCCCGTTGTATGTAAGGAATGCTTTGATTATGTGTGCACCCACAACAGTTTCCTAAAAAATTGCTTGGAAGTACAGGACAAAATTAAAGGTATTTTTAATAACGCAGCAACTGAAAGCCAGACAGATACGTCGCCATCCGATTTATTCGTTAAGACTGAAAACGAGGACAAAGAATTCGATATCAACGAGATGGAAATGTCGATCAAAGCTGAAAGTATCGACATAAAATCTGAAGATGAGGAAGGGAGGTAAGAGAAGACTATTTTAACAGTAATTTAATAGGTAACCGTATAACTCTAGTTCTTATTTCATTTTGCATCTCTTGCATACATTTTTTGTATTTCTGAGGTTTTTTGCATAATTAATTTTAACATGTTCAAGAAAAATATGTCCTAATGGTAATAAAAAATTTGGTTCGTATGATAATAAAATTGAAATGATACCCTGTAGAGTTTAAAAACATATAACTACATTTGGAATAACCTATAACCCCTTAGAACATTGGAAAATACCCTGTATATGTAATTTTTTCAGCGACTTGCTACTGCAGAGCTCCGATAGTGAATCATTCGAGAAGAGTGTCCTTAGAGATGCAGAAGAGGATGAATGTAAACATGAGAATAGATCGACAAACCAATGTAATATGAAAGACAAGCAGGATGACAAAGTATTTTACAAATGTGATAAATGTATTTACGAAACTGGAAGCGAGAGCCGGTTTATAGCACACCGTGCGAGACACGAGAATGATTCGGAAGCATATAAATGCGAATCGTGTGAGTATGAAACTGAAAATAAAAAATTTTTTCAGAAGCACCGGTTGAGGCATAAAGACTCTTCGGATACGCGTATGCACCAATGCGGATCATATGATTACAAGACAAGGCACAGGTGTGAGCTTGCTAAGAGTCAGGTGAAACACAAAAGCGCATCTAGAGGGCAATTGTATGAGTGTGACATTTGTGATTTCAAGACAAAACGGAAGGTCAGTTTTAATAGTCACTATATAAAACACAAAAACTCGAACAATTGTGTAGAATATGACTATAAAACCAAATACACTGCATTACCAAATAAGGACACTTCACAATTGCCCATTTATAAATGCAATGGTTGCAAATACCAATCCAAGAATAAGAGAAACTTTACCAGACATCAGTTGATACATAAAGATCCTTCGCAGGTTCAAATGTACAGGTGTAAGGACTGCGATTTTGAGACTAAATACAAGGGTGCTATGAAAAAACACCAACTTAAACATAAATATCCTTCACAGATTCAAATGTACAGGTGTAAGGACTGCGATTTTGAAACTAAGTACAAGGATTATATCAAACGGCATCAACTACAGCATGGAGATGCTCCTCAGGTTCAATTGTGCGAGTGTAAGGACTGCGATTACAAAACTAAATACAAGGCTGATATGAAAAAACACCAACTGAAACATACAGATCTTTCACAGGTTCAAAAGTACAGGTGCAATGACTGTGATTTCGAAACTAAATACAAGAATGTCATGAAGAACCACCAACTGAAACACAAAGACCCTTCGCAGGTTGAAACGTACAGGTGTAACGACTGCGATTACAAAACTATATACAAAAAATATCTCAAAAAGCATCAACTGAAGCATAAAGATCCTTCTCAGGTTCAGATGTACAAGTGTAGCTACTGCAATTATGAATGTAAATACAATGCTATCAAACTGCATGAACTGAAACATAAAGATCCTTCGCAGGTTCAAATGTACAGGTGTAAGGACTGTGACTATGAAACTAAATACAGGAGTTATATCCTAAGGCACCAGCTGAAACATAAAGATCCTTCACAGGTTCAAATGTACGGGTGTAACGACTGCGATTACCAAACTAAATACAAGGGTGATATGAAAATACACCAACTGAAACATAAAGATCTTTCACAGGTTCAAAAGTACAGGTGCAATGATTGTGATTTCGAAACTAAATACAAAGATATCATGAAGAAACACCAACTGAAACACAAAGACCCTTTGCAGGTTCAAACATACAGGTGTAACGACTGCAATTACAAAACTATAAACAAGAAATATCTCAAAAGGCATCAACTGAAGCATAAAGATCCCTCACAGGTTCAGATGTACAGGTGTAACGACTGCGATTTCGAAACTAAATACAAAAGTTGTATCAAACAACACCAACTGCAGCATAGAGATCCTTCTCAGGTTCAAATGTACAGGTGTAATGACTGCGATTTCGAAACCAAATACAAGGAGAATATCAAGCGGCATCAACTGACACATAGAGAAGGTGTACCGACTGCGATTATGAATCCAAATGCAGGAGTGGTATAAAATATTACATGTTGAAACATAGACAGCCTTCACGGGTGTATGAGCATGCAAAGGTAAGTCGCAGATTTAAGTCCAGTACGGCCCATTGAAGTGCAAAATCCAGTCAAAATGTCATTTAAGAGACTGACCGTAAATATGTGAATGTGTCTATCGTGAAAAACATCGGTTCAAACACAAAACTCTCACTGAAACAGAAAGCTGCAAGTTATTTCAGACTAATGCTGTTGTAACAATACATTAAAATGAATACTCTGTAATATACACCTGTTTGTTTCTGTTTAAAACTATAAATTTTTCATTACCAATATTCAGAGTGAATCTTAAATGTGTACATGAGTATTCTAAGCGACGAGATGATTTACTATGTAGAACATGCAATTAACAGTTTTTTCTGCAAAAAAATACGAATAATATAAATATGCAATAATACTAAACACTAAAATAAATATGCATTGTCTTTCTTAATAGAAAACTGTTGACAACTGACTTGGCTGTGGTATTTAGGCATTGAGAGATCAACTATTCTGTGTTGTCGATATCGTGTGGACTTGTAAACTCAAGTTTTGCAGTGGCGGCTTTTCGCAATACTATGTCTGGTTTTCACTTCTAGGTTGGAAACTCGGTATTCGATTGTCCATATGATTTTTGAGACAAGTGTTGCGGTAAACCAGAAAGCAGTCCTTTGAAAATTATTATGTACCTTGTAGTGGGAAGTTTTTTATTTTATTTAAATTATATTTGTACAAAATCAATTCACCCTTCCAGCCTGATATTCGTTATTTGTACCGTCCTAAATTATTTGTGTTGTCCTTATGAGTAGGAGTTGTGTACATGTGGATGGCAAGATTATTACCGCTTTGGCTCGAGAAGGTGTTGGCTAACCGAATTTTGCAGTAACCGCCTTTATTTTCTGTTTAAATAAGTGTTTATTTGTTGCATTTATTTTTATTTTTTGACCTCTTTAATTTTTATATGCACATTCAAAATTAACCCTGCCTCCTATGCAATTTGTAATTTTCATTTAATTCTTCGTAATTTGTGTACACTGTTCACTACTGTATTTTGTTAGTATTATTTTAAGGCCTAAATATAATAAGTTTAAATCTTACTGTAGTTTTTATTGTGACATATGAATATACAGGGTGGTCCCGAGGTAATGGGCCAAAATTCATGGGTAGATTGTCCAAGCAAAAATATTGCAGTTTAGCCAAACTTACCTTAGTCCAAAAGTTGATAGTTAAAGAGATATAGGGTGTTAAATGTAAAATATCATTTCAGTTTTTTTTTTCATTTCATAACAAATGCAAATATATTCACTAAATTTTGGGGTTTGGAGTTCTTTGGGTAGAGGAATTGAAATCTGTTCACAATTTAGTTAAAGTTCATAGAGGGCGCTAGCTGTAGTAGATTGAATGTATTAAAAACGACATAACTTTTTTGTACTTAAGGTATCTCATCTTTGGTATCAAATTCTTATTTTCCAACTTTTTTTACACAAAAAAGGTATACATGTGTTGGCTTTGAAACTTCCAATGCTGTTGCATTAAATTAAAATTAAGTACCTACAGGTATTATTAATTTAGCGGTAAAGTTTCTTAAGTAGGATTTGGACGAAAATCAAATAATTGACGTTTTCCACTTGTCTTATTGCTGTCATATGTATGCCAATTTCTATTAAGTATTATTCGCCAGACAATGACAATCCCCCCCGCAACACCTGACGAACTAAGACTGACGATACGCAGACTTAAAAACAGAAAAGCCCCCGGACCCGACAATATACATAACACGACACTTAAACGACTACCACACAAGGGCCTCATGGCCCTACCAAACATAACAAACGCGACACTCAGACTAAGACACTTCCCTACCCGCTGGAAAACAGCAAACATAATCCTTATCCCAAAACCCAACAAAGATCACACCATCCCATCCAACTACCGGCCCATTAGCCTGCTCCCGGCTATGAGCAAAGTGGTAGAAAAAATTATCCTAACCCGTCTAAGAACCCACTCCCAAGAACTGCAAGTCATTCCAGACGAGCAGTTCGCCTTCCGACCCAATCACTCCACTGAACTCCAAATCCTTCGCCTTACCGAGCACATCACGGCGGCCTTCAACAGGGGACAGTACACTGGTGCTGTCTTCCTGGACGTCGCAAAGGCCTTCGATACGGTTTGGCATGAAGGCCTACTGATGAAAATGCTCACCAACCAATATCCCATATCCTTTACCAAACTCATAAAATCCTACCTACACCACCGAAAATTCCGCATCCAAATCCAAGATTCCCTTTCCACCACCCGTCCCATGGAGGCCGGTGTCCCCCAGGGCACCGTCCTGTCCCCACAC